TGGTTTAAAACACGAACCAAATTTAATTGTTTGAAAGTTGTTGCACAATACTCAGGTGACCTATAAGGCCCGTGGGCCTCTTGTTTAAAGAGTAAATTTTCATAAAAGAAATTACATTTTTTATCTTCAGTACAATATACACCATTGACAAAATTAAAACAACACTTCCCTATATTCTGTATGTTGGCACAATAAGTCATATTGAATCGTAAAGATTTTTTATAGATTGCTGTTTTTAATATTTTGTGTATTCACAGATCCAATTAGTCTGGTCCGATTTATAGAAAAAAATAATACTTCTATCGGCAAATAATTATTTTTTGGTCCAGCATAGTTTTTTGTCCTAATTCGAGTATGCTGAATCCGAAAAAATATGCTGGCCTTCATGAAAATGGCGTTAAAGAGGTCAATATGGCGATTCAAAATGGCGGACATCCAATTTTTCTAATTTTCTTTTAATATCGTTAAAAAAGGAAAAACAATGTGTGAATATCTTATTGAATGTAATACAAGTAAAAAATGATAGTAGAATGCTAACATTATTAGTTTAACTCAGAAAATTTAGTTGTTTCTACACTTAATTCGAATTTTCTCTGATTTATTTGTCTATTGTTCTATATTCTGCTTTGTTCAGGATTTTACATTTGCAAATATCCATACACTGCAGATTTGTATTTTTTCCTCTACATCTCACTATTCTACAATTGATTGATGGTGCAGCTGTAAGTTAAAAGTCAAAATGGTGATTCAAAATGGCGGATATTCCTTATTTTCAAATTATTTCTTAATGTCGTTTACATAGGAGAAAGGATTTGTGAATATCTTATTGAGCGAAGTACAACTATGTAAGATTCCAATTGAACACTAATATGATCACTTTAAATCAGAAAATTTAGTCGTTTAAATTTAAAATGTGTTAATTAGCTCAAAATGGCGATTCAAAATGACGTCATATTCACTCGAATTTTGTAAAATACTCAAACTGCTGAATTTTGAGTCTTTTTGCAGAAAATAAATTACAGTTTGTTTTTATATATTTTGAGTCTTTTTGCAGAAAATAAATTACAGTTTGTTTTTATATATATAAAGAGAAACCAAAATCCTTTAAAAACCGATTATTTAAACTGATAATCTGCCAAAATATGGCTGAAAAATTGCCGATAGGCCTGCTACATTGACAAAGTCGACCAAAACGAAAAACAAAACCAAAAATAGGGCTTGAAGTTAAAAAGCAACTTTCCTGACAAATTTTTTTTGGGTGATTAATATAATCATTGGATGAAGAAGAAACGGGATCTCGGCGACATTCACGTGGGGCTCGCGAAGGTTCTACCCTACAGGTTTGTTGATACATGGTATCATTTCTCGTATCTCCATGGCTTTCAAAGAAAAAAAAATCAGTGTAAACTCAACGTTAAAATGCATTTATGACATATAAAATTTATTGCCATTTGAACTGCAAATTGTATTTGAACAGCAGAAAGATATTTTGTTTGACATTTTGCGGCGATGATGTACTGAGTATGATTTGGTGGATTTTCCTTTCCTGCACTCCAATACACAAAACGTCAACATTTGTACTTAATCATGTTAAATTCTTCTGAATACAGACTAATATGTTAAATATTATTAATTTACCGGAGAGTTAAGTATCATGGTTGGGATGTTTTTCCTTTGAAGGAAAGTGTACATTAACTGGAGATACACCGATGGGCGGAGCCAGCAAAAACTGTGCTGTGTAAATAAATTATTGAACACCAACTTGAAGGCGATTTCATCATTTTAAATTACATATTGAATCTGAATTATGGACTGCGTTTTATACAGAGGCAAAATTTCTGCAAGTGAAATAAATTACAGTGCGTATCCCAAACTACGAAATGCTTTTACGGAACTCTGCAAATATTCGATCCACCGCAACGAGAAATCAAGTTCTTGACATGAAGTCCACACAGAAATACTAGTATATTTTAAAAATATCACACCTATTGTAATATATAGCGCTTTAGCAGAATATGCCATCTTTGCTGTGTTCTTTCCTATACTAGAATAAAGTGCAGCTGTACCTCATCCACAGATGAAGAGTTATTGCCCCTGACACAGCGTTTTTGTGAATGCGACAGCTATCGAAAATGTCAAGTTGATCAGCGGGTATCTTTTTTCTTGATTTTCGAATAGCACCCGAATTTTCCTTCTACAACTTTGATTTTTTCTTCTTTGATATCCAAAAGTTTTCTTGTGAATTTCAATAACAATCCGTGTTTATATCAAGCTTGGATGCTGCAATTCGAAGTTCTTTCTCATGAACACACACACGTAAAATGTGTATATCAAAAGTACTGGCAGGAAGGCGAGATTATCCGACCTTAAAACGTAGGGGGACCTTTTCTTATACGGACCGGACCTTTTCATAAAAGGCGGACCTAATATGTTATCGTAATAGGTCCGGCCGGACCTTTAAACGAGGAGGACCAAATATTATGCGACACCTGTCAAAAACTACATTTTTCTATTGGGTAATTAAAAATCATGCATGGAAATTGGTGACATGACGTTTTATTGGCCATGATACAATAACGTTATTGAATATTTATTATGGTGTATCCTAATTTATTTTGAAGAAGGACGGAGACTCGATCGCTCTTCGCAATCGTCTCCGCCCTTCGTCCAAATAAGTCAGGATACACCATAATAAATGTACAACAAAATGTTTTTGTGAAACACTATGCGCCCGGCAGCAACAAAGTTTGAAAAAGTTTGATTTTTTTTTTTTGTATTTTTTCAAAGAAAATTCAAAAAATGATTTGCATCCAAATTAGATGCTTTCTTGTAAAAATTTTGCTGTAAATGAATGCAACACATGAATACCTAATAAAATATGTAAAGAAAAGCTGTATAGATATTAAATTTTTTAAAATAAAAAAATATCTAAGAAAATAAAACACATAATTTGTGAATATTTTTTAAACTTGTGGTTAAAATCTTTTTGAAACCAGTCACAACTAGGGAGAACATGTTCATTAACATTCTTTGTGCCGCGGGCCTATTTTGGGCCTATTTTCAAATACTACGTTAAGTGCCATGGGCCTATTTTGGGCCTATCGTTAACGTCATTACGTCACAAGTAAAACTGATTATGACGTTACGTTCTCTTTCTCAATTTCGCGCCACTTTGTTCTCTTGTTGAAGAAAACAATTTTACCACTCCGTCACTGAAAAAAAGGAATGTAAGGAAAGGAATGTTAAACGGGTATTTCATTTTTCTTGGTCTTTAATTAGAAAATGTAAATAATATATTCTGATTTGAAATCAAATATCTTATCAACATTTTCAATCCTTATATGAACGATACAAGCAATCAAAGTTACATTTGGAAAATTCCTTATCTCAAAAACGGGAAAAACTTATCATCATTCTTTTGATTGTGGAAATACTAGTACCCAATATCATATTGTAATTTCTGTAAATATTTTAAAAACAGTTTAATATTGGAACATTTTTAAAACTGAAGAGCTTTTAAACCGACTGTAAGAAGTTCTCAGAAGCATAACAAAGTGAAAGAATTTATTTTATGCATGTCACATAATAAAAAAAATCCACAAGGAAACACTGAAAGAACTATATGCGGTATATTGCATATATTTGCCCCCACAAAAGTCAAATTTTGAAAACTTCCTGAAATGTGTTGAATTCAATAAATTGTAAGAGAAATATAAATTAACAGAAAATATTATAGTGTCAAAGCAGTGTGTTCACAATTTTTGTTTTTTATGACGTCACAAACTAGTCCGACTTAATATCCTTTTTCAGAAAGAGGACAAAATGGACAAATTTTCAGCAATTTTAGCTTTAAAATTTATAGAGCGCAAGTTTGTTCAGAAACAATATTGACATATTTCATTGATATCATCATTCTACACATTATATCAAAATATTGATCCTGAACACACATGCGCTCGGTGACTTTTACGCAAAATATCGACGAAATATGTACATTTTTCTGTAAAATGCATAAAAAACTGAAATTTACGTCATGTTTGTGACGTCATTACGTACATATGGCGTCATTACCTATGAAACTACTCAGTGCTTTGAAGTCAGCATATACTCCCCTGTTTAAGAACTTAATAAAATATATCTCCATCAAAGTTTGATTTTGGGGGCAAATATTGGTTATTACCGAATAAAATTCTTTACAGATAATCAAATTTGGAATATATGTACACTAGACAGTACATGACATTGCGAATGATAAATGCCGGGAAAAACTTCTTATGCTCATTGATCAATTATGGCTCTGCAAGAAACGACCGTGACATGGAACTTCCACATGTGTATATATGTTCCCACCTTATTCCATCCATTCTGTTTGCTCAAATGATCCATACAGATTTAATTTCTTTTCAGCACGAATCATTGATTTTAACTGCCGGGGAAGGGGGGGGGGCTATTAGCCGCGGTCAGAATTTTCGCTTGCTTCTCGTGATAGATTAAATTTCTCGCTATTAAATTAATGTAAGAAAAACGACAGGTATTTACAATCGGAGGGCAAGCAAAATATCTTTTCTGTCGAAATTGTGTGAGACCCACTACTGCACTAGTGCGAAGGTTCACGGCCCACTAGTCCGATTGAGAAGAAGTTACGAACTTAAGTAAGATTTTCGAATTTTTGTAAATTTACATAGCCAGCAACCTAAGAAAGAAAATTACTTTGAACCCGACTTTAAAAAGGCCCTCAATTTGGATGAGTGAGTCAGTTTTTTTTAAACAAATGCTAATTAATGCAAAAGTTTTTTGATTAAATCTTTTTTCGTATTTTTGTCGAATTTCTGCTAAATAACTCTGCGAATACAAGTTTTCAGGTCTCATTCGAAAAACATGTAGGAAAAAGTAACTATCTATAGGTTAGAAATGACGGATCGCAAAATTCGAACCCGGGTCCGATCACAAAGCGAGCCCTATACCACAAGGCTTCCTTGATTGTGTTGAGATGCGGGAATATGCAGAATATAGGAAGGTAATTTCAAATTTTTTATGAATAATTTTCAGTAAAAGTATTTTGTGCTCCAAATTTCAACCCCAAACTTCAGGAACCTGTTAGGGTACAACGTAGAACATTTGCGCACAGAGCCTGACACTGTGAACTGTTTAACACACGTATATGGCACGCCAAATTCACAAAAATGAGATAAACCTAGTTTCACATTTGATTAACTAGGTTTATCGACTGTAAACTATAGTTTACAAACCGTAAACTATAGTTAACGATTCGTTAAGTATAGTTAACGATTCGTTAAGTATAGTTTTCATCTGTAAAACTATATTTAACGGTTGTTAACTATAATTTACGAATGATAATCTAAGTTTATCTGTCTGTAATAAGGGTTAACAATAAATTTTGTTGATAAACATAGATTCACGTTTGTAAACTATAGTTTAGTTTACAATCGTAAACTATAGTTAAGAGTTGTTAATCATAGTTTCACAAATCGTGAAACTATATTTATCAGATCGTTAACTATAGTTAACGGTTTGTAAACTATAGTTTACAAATCGTGAAACTGTATTTATCAGATAATCTATGTTTTGCAATCGCAAATGATTGTTTTCGGTGTTAAGTATAGTTTACGGTTGTGAAACAAAGATTATCGCGTTAACTATGGTTTACAGATGTGAAATATAGATTAATGTTGTTAACTATAGTTTACAGTATATATATAACCGTTAGCTATAGTGTTGACAAAGGATTTTTTAAACCTAGTTTATCGATTGTGAAACTATGATTATCTCATTTTTGTGAATTTGGCGTGCCATACACGTACTATATTTGCTTTTTGAACAAGTAGAAAATATATCCAAGAACCATAAGCACTAAACAAGTAACATGTTACTGAATTAACAAGTTGTTAAAATATGAAAATAATTAATCAAAAAGGTATGATTATGTTTAATTTTATATTAAATGGAATTTATTTAAAAAGTCACAATTTTTATTTCAAACAAAGGAGAAATTATGTAAGTTACATGGACACCTAACTCCGTGTTTTGTCTTTAATACTTTTATATAAATTGTCCATAATTCAGTGAATAAATTAAAATACAACATGTATATATATATCCTTGACAAAATAATTTAATGGATGATAAATATTAAAACAAATATTCAAAAAGAACATAAGAGCAGAACAAAACTAACAAATATAGAATAAAATATAGTACAATATAACTTTATCATTAATAGATTATACAAATAATGCAAAAACACATGTTCGTAACAAAAGACGCGAATCAAAAGTCAAATGTTAATCCAAAAGTACTCGACTTGGACAGATTTATGTATTTTGTATGGTCATAAGGGACATATTTCAGTTTCTGATTAATGGCTACATGGTATAGAGATACAATGGCTGTATTTATGTGTTAAAAATTCACTAAAATTGATAGAATATGAAAATACTTACCGAATCTATTATGTACGTAACTTCTGTCTTCCACGTGGACACAATGAGCATCGCCATGTTTTTTTGCAGACATCTGCGCAACCTTTCTACTTTCGTTTTCAATTTATAATGACACCACTGCTACGTCCATCCGTCTGTCCGTCTGTCTGTCTGTAAACTTTTCACATTTGTAAACTTTTCACATTTTCGACTTCTTATATTATTTCTCAAGAACACATATATCCTGATTTTGTTTTTAAATAAAACAACATCTTTATGCCAATTTCAACCAAACTTGCCACAAAGCATCCTTGGGTGAAGGGGATATATTTTAAAAATTCAAGTTTGTTCAAATGAAGGGCCACGCCCTCATTCAAGGGGAGATAATTGGGAATAAATGAAAATTTGGTGGTATGCTTTAAAAATCTTCTTCTTAAGAACCGCTGTGCCAGGAAAGATGAAACTTATGGGGAAACATCCTCAGGTAGTGTAGATTCAAGTTTGTTCAAATCATGACCCCCGGGGGTAGGGCGGGGCCAAAATGGCCGACCAAAGTTTTACATAGAAATATATAGGAATATTCTTTAAAAATCTTCTTCTCAAGAATGACAAAGCCATAATTCATCATATTTATATGGAAACATCCTCAGGTAGTGTAGATTCAAGTTTGTTCAAATCATGACCCCCGGGGTAGGGCAGGGCCAAAATGGCCGACCAAAGTTTTACATAGAAATATATAGGAAAATTCTTTAAAAATCTTCTTCTCAAGAATGACAAAGCCATAATTCATCATATTTATATGGAAGCATCCTCAGGTAGTGTAGTTTCAAGTTTGTTCAAATCATGACCCCCGGGGGTAGGGCGGGGCCAAAATGGCCACCAAAGTTTTACATAGAAATATATAGGCAAATTCTTTAAAAATTTTCTTCTCAAAAATAGCCTAGCCATGATTGATCATATTTACATGGAAGCATCCTCAGGTAGTGTAGATTCAAGTTTGTTCAAATCATGACCCCTGGGGGTAGGGCGGGGCCACAATGGCCGACCAAAGTGTTACATAGAAATATATAGGAAAATTCTTTAAAAATCTTCTTCTCATGACCAAGCCATAATTGATCATATTTATATGGAAGTATTCTCAGGTAGTGTAGATTCAAGTTTGTTCAAATCCTGACCCCCGGGGGTAGGGCGTGGCCAAAATGGCCGACCAAAGATGAAAGTTTTACATAGAAATATATAGGAAAATTCTTTAAAAATCTTTTTCTCAAGAATAGCCAAGCCATGATTGATCATATTTATAGGGAAGCATCCTCAGGTAGTGTAAATTCAAGTTTGTTCATATCATGACCCCCGGGGGTAGGGCGGGGCCACAATGGCCGACCAAAGATGCTCAGGTGAGCGATGTGGCCCATGGGCCTCTTGTTCATTCATCTGAACATCTCCATTTGATTGAATCAGACATGAATCCATATATTGCATCCCAGTTTACGATCAAGGGTGTAAAGACGAAGACAATGTGAAGAAACGTACGCCTTAGTCGGTGGCTTCCAGTTTTTAATTTTTAGGAACACAATGACAAATATCAAAAGTATTAAAAGATCAATTAACATAAACATTGAACAAATATGAATAATTATTTAAAACAATACAATTTATTTTAAGTGATTATAGGAAAGGTATGAGTGTGCAAAGGCCCGTAAAACAAGGGGGGGGGGGGGGTCTTTTTTCTGAGTTTATTTTTTAAACATTATAATCTTATTTTAGATGCCGCCCCTATCCCCATTTTTGTATTGCTGTAAGTTTAAGCGCTTGCAAGTTAAAGTTATTTTTTTTGTCGTAAAGTCTACCAAAATGTAAGACCCCCCCCCCTTTCACACACACAAGCACGAGAAACAGGATTTTTAAAAATGAGTTTGGAAACTCTGAACAATTTAGGCTTCTATTTTGCTTGTCAGATTTTTTTGGAAGCCCCCTCTTCCTCCCGACACTTTAAACAAATAAAACTCTTTCAAGTCCGACAGAGTTTTCAAAAATAAATAACGAAAACTTGCAAGTAGTTATTTATGTATGCATTTCAAATAACTGCATTTGTAAATTTTTATTAAGATGCTGTATATATTTGAAACACGGGTACTCGACGTTACATAAAATTACCGGTATATCATTTAGAAAAAAAACTCCTTACTTATAGTCTATTATTGCAGAAAATTGTCATATACTAGCTGATTGAAATCAGCCCTTTTCAGGTTTCGGTTTGGTAAAGCATAAAGCAACGAACGACGTCATGTGACGTCAGAGTCTTATACGCACCGAATGTCACGTGCGGTTTGACGAGTCCGATCTAAATGAAAACTGGATAAGTATTAACGGTCGCACCGTCAACATATTATTAGATAATATTAAAAATATATAGAGGATATTCAATGTTTTGTTGTTGAATATGGAATTTATTTCACGAGTGGGACAGGATTTTTTTTTTATATTTTCACGACTGCGAAGCACGAGTGAAAATATCAAAAAATCCTGTCTCACGAGTCAACTACAAAACATTGAATTTTCTATTTATTACATTTTCTTTGATTTTCCCTTTGCCTTCGTCTTTCTTGTAATGCAGTTTTAGGCTACAACACGTCATAGTTGAGCGGCTGAGACGTCATAGCTAAGTGATAAGCATTGTAAACATGAATTTCAGCAACATATATTTGGGGAACTTGCGCAGTTTTATTTTATGACAGAATGGTTTATGAACTCGTTTTCTATCTTATAACAGGTTAAGGAGTATTTTTTACAACATTCTTGTTGAAGGGAAGGAAAATCGAGAGTTTTCCCGCACATCTGATATTCTTTCACACTGTGACAGGATATCATTTTGATATCCTTTCACACCGTGACAGGATATCACTTTTATTCAATGGATAAATTACAGTATTTCACTGTTCAAAATGTAATAAATTTATCTCATTGCGGATTCGGTATGTTACAAGTGGGGTACTCAATATACCCATTTCTATTTTTTTTTCTACTATGGCGGACAAACAATCATCATTGCAGCGACATACAGGCCTAATGTTAGGATCTCAGGAACAAAATTTACAACAGCTAGGCAGGGAAGAATTGGAACCTGGGTGTGTGGAGGAAAGATTCCGTGTAGATCGCAAAAAACTCGAGCAGATGCTTCAAGGTAGTTTCTGTTGCTTACAAGTAGCCAAACTTATACTTGCGATAAAGAAACAATATTCATGATCATTGGTTATATCTTTTAATTACTGTCATTATAATTAGCGTATTAATGATTGCACTTTTTCATTTCATAGAATGTAAGTTTAATCCATCATTTATACAGTCATTTTTAAAATGACTCGATAAATGATAAATTAAACTTACATTCTATGAAATTGTAAAATTTATCAGTAACGGTTTCTTCTAGGTAACCAGTGTTTTCCCTTTACCTCTGAATTCAAAGTAAATTATATATTAGGGTCACAGATCAGTTGTAACAGGCCAGGGGCTGAGATTTATGAACATAATCTCTGTGGACCTTATAACAAAGAATGGGGGCGTATAAGGCGAGGACACTCTTCCGCTCTGGGACAAAATGTTTCTCAACTTTCAAAATTCACAGAAAAATTATATTTTTCTAAAAACGTTCTCAGTAATGTCATCTTCAAAATATTTTATCATTTTATTTTACTAAACGACTTATTATTTCAAAGTTGACAGTTAAGCATATTTAGTGGAAAATAGGTTTATTAGAGCTATATAAATTGAATTTTGATCATGAATGGGTCAAGTCTCCATTCTTCATTAACGCTTAAATGATGGAAAGGTAAATGTGAAATCTATTTCATTTGTCCAAGAAATGGAATCTGAACCCATTTTATTCAGTTATTTGAAAATCGAAAATTTCTGGAAAAAAATTACGCTTCAACAAACCCGTTCATTTAAATCACACTGACAGACATCGATAATGCATATACTTCGTAGCGTAGTGGTTAAAGTGGTCGGTCTTAGATGAAACCTTGCGCTATGGAGAGAGTTCGAATCATCCTTGAAGCTTTTTTCTTTTTTGTTTTCACATATTTTAAAAACATGAGTGAAAAATAAACTATTTATAAAGTATTAAAGAAAGGCTTGGAAGGTTTTACAATTTAACATAGTTCGATAGTCATTATAATTACGAGTAAAATGATACAAAGCGTAACTTCTATCTCTCTCGCTGATTAGAGATATTACTAAAAATAGCTCAGTTCACACCTGAGAGCTCGCAATGAAATTGGCTGTATACCGGAAGTGACGTTCGTGACGTTACAAGTGTGACATGCAGAATTTCACGGAGTGATCGATGTCAAAGAAAAAAACAGGGAAATTTTGCGTTGCAGCGGGCTGCACATCAACACACAAGGATAATGTGTCCTTACATGATTTCCCCAAGGAATCGAAAAGACCAGATATCCGTCGGCAGTGGATTACTTTTGTTAAAACAAAACGAAAAGATTTCACCAGTCCGACCCCTCATTCTGTTCTTTGCGAGAAACATTTCGCTGTTCATTGCTACCCCATGGAATATATGATTAAGAGGTCTATCGGTATGGAAGTAAAGAAAAAGTCACTTTTGCCTGATGCTGTACCCACTATTCATCTCATCGGAACAGTGAATCCTCTGTTAGGAAAGAGATCTTCTTCAGACGTAGATGCTCCAACAACATCGCGTCCATCGCAACAGAAGAAAATTCGATCTGCTTTTCTTAAACGGGAATGCTTTAGGGTAAGTTCAAAAAGTTAAATGGTTATTCTTTTATGTAAATATAATTATTTGCAATGCGATTGTTTTCAACATTTGTTTACATGCGTGTATTGTCAGTAGCCCCTCCCCGGCCTTTCTATGAATTTTGAAGTTTATACATGTGCATGTTAAACGTGTAATAAATGCACCAAAAGTTGATTTATATCAACTTACAGTGCCCATGGATCCATCGACTATGATTATCAAATTTGTAAAAGCTGAGTAAGGCAAATTTTAATTAACAAGCTCTATATATTTTTCTTATTTGTTGACAGGCTGTGGAATCTCAGCAATCACAACATCATGAACATGAACATGTGCAGTGTACAGAAAATGAATCTCACTCACAGACAGACTGTATTAAACCAGATGATCAGGAAATTTATCAGGTAATCCAAGATTTTGATGATGATTTCTAGTCATAATTAAAATTGATTTTTGATAATGACTAAAATTCATCATTTTGTAGAATACTGATGAAAAACAGTCATATTTTTAGTTTAGAATTTTTTAGAAAACAGAGTAACCTTTGAAATTAAATAGGACTGTATTTCATAATTTTATCAAATTGTTAGGCCTGGGGGCATGGGCACACAAATTATCTCGTTAGCTACTTTTTATGTTGTCTTAAATTTTCTCATATTGTATGTTTAAAGTTTTTGTATGCATCTGATTTTTCAAATTATAATTCCTCACTTGTCTTTTAATATTTAGACTGCAACAAGAAGTATTGGACTTCAGATAAGCGAGAGCAAGCATGTGTCATCAAAGAGATCAAAGAGATGCCAAACTAATATCAAAAAATCAGACAAAGGTAACAAGGGGGCATGTACAGTATAAGTAGAATTTTTAGCGAGGACTTAATTTTGGCATTATTAGCAAGGATGCCAAGATCACTAAAATTGAATAACGCTAAAAATTATTTGCGTTTTATTCGTAATAGCTTCTTTAATGTGCATTTTAAAATAGCTAAAATAGCATCTCGCTAAAAATAAATTACCAGTTTTTAAGGACAAATCGCTAAATTTGCGTCTCGCTAAAATTTCCACTTATACATTATTAAATGGTCTAATCAGTATTAATTTGTTTATGTGGGCCCCATATTTAAATTTTTAAACCAATGTACTTTTGTAGAGATTTTTTTTCAATGCACTATTGCATACATATATAATGATGACCCCATGTAGTTTGATCTACTTCTTCACTTGGCACATAAAAATTTGTTAGTAATTGATATTGTTGTCGCTGGGTTAAATTCACTAAACTCAGTCAATATATCTAGATCTGGCCTGGGGGCCATAAAACTTTGATGAGCTCATTTTTGATCTTAGTCTCATTTTTTCCAAAGGAATTAATAACGAATAAGTGAGACTGAGATCAAAAGTGAGCTTGTGTAAGTTTTATGGCCCTGGGGCCATAAAACATAAACAAGCTCACTTTTAATCTTGTTCTCACTTTAATCAAAGAAATTAATAGAAAAGTGTAAATGAGATCAAATAAGTGTGCTCATGTAAATTTCATGGCCCCAGAACTGTGTATCAGTACTTGAGGCTGCACCTGTTATAATAAACTTTTAATTTAATAACTTTATTCATGGAAGTGATTCAAATTCAATGGAATTAAGGACAGTGGGCTTTGTATACTTTGATTGATAGAACATAAATATTGTATGATCTTAATAACAGTGCATGATTTAAAAAAACTATTATCTTACTAAGTTTTGTTTTTATAATGTCCCTGTAGTTACTCAAGTAAATATGGACAAAAACCTGAAGTTAACCTCAACTGGAATCCAGTGCAACAGAGATCTAGAGGATGGTATTGGAAAACAGCATCCATGTCAAAAAAAGATGAGGCATTTACTGAGAGAGCAGACCCCACTGAAGTTTTCAGTGCATGATGACTCTATTGATGAATATTCATCAGAAGTAGACGAAAAAGACCCTGACTTTGAACCAAATTTTTCAGATGACTGTCAGTCTAACTCATCAATAAATGAAAAGTAAGCTGTACAATATATTTTGGAAAATTACCGTTTCATTATACATGTACATGTATTTTTATCACTTGCATATACATGTAAATACATATCTATGAGAATAATATCAAAGTAAGTACTTTTAAAATATTTAATTTTTTTTATGTAAAGTACACAGGACATTATAATGATTATGCATATAATATCATTGACGTCAACCTAAAATTAAAAAAAACAAAAACCAAAAAAAACCATGTCAACCTGAAATTAAAAAAAAAATCAAAACAAAAAAACCTATTAAATTAATCACATATGTATATTTAATACTACATTAGTGTATTACATGCATGTAATTTTAACTAAATGAATACAATTATCCGGCTTTAATCGATATGAATTAATTTTAATCATGCTAAAATATCTAATGACTCTATTGAGTCAAGAAAAATTTTTATTAAAAAATCACTTAATTTGTCAGTCACTAAAATACATGTAACCCATTATAGGATAATTGCGATATGTTCTTCATTTGTTCTACATGAAATTTTTTAATCTATAAATGGATTTTACAGTTATCAACCATGGAAAGATAGGAAGTTCATTGTGTTTGAATCAAGGCTATTGGAACTGTTTCAATTTTGTCCATCTTGTTCTGCATCTGCTTTATTTGACGTGAAGAGAACTGTTGGATCAATGGTTAAAATAGAGCAGACTTGTGGTGGATGTGGCTTCAACAGAATATGGGAGAGTCAGCCCATGATAGGATCTGTACTGGCAGGAAATCTGATTTTCTCTGCAGCTCTTCTCTTTACTGGTAATGACTAATTAGTAATGTTTTAAAATACAAAGTTATGAATTTGGTATACACTGTAGCATATGTTAAAATTTTTATATGTATGATTTAATAAACATTCACCATTTTTATAGGATTACTTCCCTCTAAAACCATCCGGTTCATGGAACAGATGAATGTCTCATGTATCTCCTCCAATACTTTTTTCCAACACCAAAAGTATTATTTACATCCATCTATTTGTTCGGTGTGGAGGACCTTCCAAGAAAATTACTTCACACAAATGGCTGCCAGTGGGAAGGCTTTAACCCTAGGAGGTGATGGAAGAGCAGACACCCCGGGTCATTCTGCCAAGTATGGGAGCTATGGTTTGCTGGATCTAGACCTTATGATTGTAATACATATAGAACTAGTGCAGGTGAGTTTTAAAGAGCGTTCTGATGGAAATTTAAATTAGTTTCATGGAAAAAAAATTGAAAGAAAATATCACTCTATTTATTTATTGTACACAATATATTTTAGAGTAATGAAGTAAAAAGCAGCTACCATATGGAAAAAGAAGGTTTTGTCCGAAGCATCAACCTTGTACAAAGTAAAGGACTAAAAATCGGGGAGATTGTGACAGACCGCCATGTTCAAATTGTCAAGTATGCCCGAGAGGAATTGCCGAACACCAAACATTATTTTGATGTGTGGCATGTAGCTAAAGGTTAGGTTAAAGCTTTTGTTATTTTAGCATAGACTTAATATATATTTATTCTAAATTTTCACATTTTTTTTTCACTGGATCCATTGAGTTTGAAATACCATGGTTTGATTGTATTTTATTTTAGGACTGAAGAAAAAACTAGTGGCTTTATCCAAGGAAAAGAACTGTGAAGCATTGCAGCCATGGATCCGTAGCATGTGCAATCACCTTTACTGGGTACCTGCCTCAACACCAAGTGGTAATGGTCAGTTAATGCTGGAAAAATGGGAGTCGATTGTCAACCATGTCCAAAACATACACGAACACGATGGGCAGTTATACACTGAGTGCTCACATGGACCACTGGAGGGAAGAGAACGACAAAAGAAATGGCTCATTCCTGGTAATAAAGCATTATAAATTTTTATTGTGACTTTCATTGAATTTAATATGCAGTCAATATAATGAATAGAATTATTTCCATACATATATAGGAAGCAAAGCTGCAGAAAAATTTTCTGATATTGCCACTTCAAAGCAAATGAAGAAAGATGTTCAGAAATTATCTCCAGGTGCACAGACTGCATCGTTGGAAGGTTATCACGCTGTTGTTAACCATTTTGCACCCAAAATGATTGGGTTTTCATATCATGGAATGAAGTCAAGGTAAAAAAACAAAACAACAACAATTTGCTTTCTTTTTGTGAAAACTGATGTGTAGTGAAACATGAGGTACAGTATTTAATTACGTGATACAATAAATCTTCCACTTTCTAGAATCATATTAGCAGCTCTTCATTTTAATGAAAATGCCATGAGAGAACAAGCCTCCACGAAAGAGGGAAGGAAAAGATATGATGTCATATTCCCCAAGTTCAAAAAAGGAGAATATTCTGTTAGAGAAGTCAAAGTCAACTGCACATATGGTATATACACAAGCTTTTTTGCTTTAATTTATCATTAAGATGTGTAAAGAATGATGTTTGACTGTATTGCACAAAATCATTTATTTGCAGGTTACATTGACAAATTAATGAAAGTGGTCATCACTTCAGCAGAGGATCAGACCATGAACTCCAGTGGTATCACGCTGAACGATGTTCCTCCTCCACTTTGCAGTGCTTATGAAAGACCAAATAAAGAGACTGCTATTCAAGAAAAACTTTCAAGATTTTCTAGTCATGATGCTTTAATTGACCAAGATAATGCATGTTTAGAGAAGTAATCCATTCATTGATTGATTGATTGATTATATGTTGTTTAACATCCCTTTCGAGAATTTTTCACTCATATGGAGACGCCACCACTTGCCGGTGGAGAACTACAAATTTCGTCCTATGCTCGGCACTCAGGGCCTTTGAGCAGCGAGGGATCTTTTTCGTGCCAGCACCTATTGCGACACGGGTCCTCGGTTTATACGGTCTCATCCGAAGAAGAACCGGTCTCCACGTCCCGCAGTGGGATTCGAACCCGCGACCTAAGGATTGACTCCTTACTTCACGACTCTAGAGCAGACGCTCTAACCACTGCGCCATGCGGGCGACTAATCGATTGAAGAGGCTTGACTGTACATGTATTCAGTTTATTTAACTTGTAATTATCAGAGAATGTTTATTGTTGTTTAAATCCAGTGTAATTTTCAGAATTAGTTGGAAAAGTGTTTCGGATACAATTCACAGCACATGATGGTAAAACAACTCGGATCTTTTTTCCAAGATACCCCCACGCCCACCTTGCTAATTGTCTATAGGCTGTATATCTGTATTTTCTGAAAAAGAGAGAGAAGTATTTTAAAGTCACATCTACATTTGAACTCTTTTATTTCAAATACATGTACCAATATCTTGAACGCAAGATACCTGGGGGATATGTTAAAGTGAGTTGACTTGCATGTATGTATATGTTTTATTGTTTCAAATGCTCTGAGCCTCATAAAGCCAATATTTTGAAATAGTCCTCTAGAGTACCACGTAGTTTAATTTTTGCACATGTAAATATGATACTGCAATTTTTTAAGAATTGAGATGTGTTCAGTGTTCTTTGGTTTATGACCCAGAAAATACAATGTACAATATGTGTTGATTGAGTTTTGAAACTATACATGTAATTAAAAATTCATGAATGATATTTTTTTTATTTGGTTGTTGCAAGACTCCTAGATAATTTAAGGTTTATCCTTACAAGATTTTTAAGGTTTGATAATTTGATTTATAATAAGAGAAATGCAAAGTTTAACTTGGACTAAATTTGAAGACATTTAACTCAAATCAAAATGACATGATTTATGGTAAACTTGATAAACTGATTATAATTATATGGTATTGTATTTATGAAATATAAAGATTGGACTGATAATTCTGAAAGATACATGTAATTTGTAGTAAGGTGCGTGCAAGAAATATTGCATATTACTAATTACTCTGAAGAATCTTCAATATTTTCCCCATACTGCTGTTTATATTGGTAATACGCTATTTGGAGGACATATTTGTTTAAACAGGCTGGTGCAAATCCAGGGTGGCTAGTTATACAGGTAATGCCTTGGTCTTCCTCAAAAATGGACTTAATATTTTCCACCTCATGGCAGCAGACAGATTCCTGGGCAGTGGGCATTACAGAACAATTTCCACACTTGCACCTACAAAATATTTACAAATGCTGTTATGCAATTCAATAAAATTGCTGTCATTTAAAATTGAATTGTCAGACTAATTTTCAAAAAGCATGCATTCGAGTTCACTGGAAGGGGGGGGGGGTCAAATCATTGCAATAAATTTGAAAAAAAAAATAACGACAATGAAAATTATTAATGAAAGTGTAGGAAAAAGAGTGGGTTCCCACAACAACAGAAAAAAAAAATGAGCGCTAAAATTAAAATCTGTAGGGACTAACTTTACATGTATTCATCTGTTCATGCCCTCGATCAGCTGATTTTAGTAATTAGTGTGAAAGTTTTAGGGTGGGGGATAAATGGGTGTCGAATTATGTTTTTATTTAATATATTTTTCTAAAATAATGATTAAAATGCTTCTTGTGAATATTTTCTATCGTTTTACTCACATACCAATCAATAGTATGCAAACGGTTTGCTTCCTCGAGTCCCGCATCGTTAGTGGTAGATTCTTCTTCGTCTGAGGGTTCACTAACGTAGGGCTCAAAACGAAAGGGTTCTACTCCCACATTTTCTGTATTATTGCACAGCAATGAATCCTCATCAAAACTTGATGATCCACAAGAAAGTTCTAACAATTCTTCCTCTAAGGAACAATCAGAATTAGCCGAAACAACGCTTTCTGACATTATCCGCCTATCACTTGATGGAAGCGAGACACACTTGTGACGTCACTGAACTTGATTGCATTTAAACCGGAAGTGACATTATCAAGGATTATCGATCGTTTTCACAGGTGCAAATGCAGAGGTTCAACATTGATTATCTTTGAAACGGCGGTACCGATTTTAGTAGGATTTTCGCCAAAATGTTTTATTAAGCAGGTCTAGTGAATTACGTTTATGAGTAAAAGTACCGTGGCCTATCTTTAAAACAATGAAATACAGAATTAAATGTGTAAAAGATGATATAAACAATTTAATTTTGAATTTAAGGTAGTTCTATACTCGGCACTAAATGGGCTCAATCTTTAAAAATCTGCTTTTATAAGATAGACATACATCCCAGCAATGGATAGAAACAAGAAAAATTATATGTCAACATGTTCACTTTTCCGCTATAGCCTATCGGAGTATATACCCCGAAATGTAAAATACTGAAATTTACCTATCCTAGATTTTGTTGTATATAAATTAATTTAAGTCTAAATATTCAACTTTAATACCCAAAATAGAGTAGAAACATGTTAGTAAACAATACAATACCATTGTTTTGCATGAATTATTATAAATAGATGCACTTTATTAGGCTATTGTATCAAAATTTAATGTGAGAAAATATGCTTTACAGGACAATATCGGTCATTAAAAAAAAATTATGGACTCAAACTTCGTAAATTTGCATTATTTTTGCTAAATTATATTTAAGAAAAATAATAAGCTTAAAAAAATCATATGTTGACGCATTACTTTTCGTGGTATGAGCTCTACACTAAAGGGACCCCACTATTTTCTTTCTTCCAGAAGTAATATATTGCCACATATTTCTGTAATACTGTTAATGTTTGAGTGTATACTTGTATTAACAAGGTTGTACATAATTTAAAACAATAATTATACACACCCAAAACCTATTGTTCCTAAAATTTATCTTATTTTACTCAAAAAAAAAAAAAAAAAAAAAAAATAAATAAATAAAACACACTTGTCTTTAAATTGGAGACGATGAAAATGAAAGTAATTCATTGATTCTCAGAAACTGGATGATTTTGCTACAGAAATTAATGAAGTGTGCTGCAAGTGAATCAACTTTTGTCAAATACTTATTCAAAAGATAATTTTGCATTGGGATTGGGGGAGGGGGGTATGCGTTTTATGCAATAATTATTATTCAAAGTAAATTTTGTAATGTTTGATTAGTAAAATCCATAAATTTCGAAGTCAAATCGTAGTCATTACTTTTCTTCCGAATTATCACTATTAGCTTCAACTTGGCCGCCGACAATAATCGCCTCTATAGTTTGATACATGTTCTGATGTAGCATGTATATGGTCCCTGTTTTCGGCGCGGCATATAAATCATGCATCATTCACAGAAATATCGTTTTATTACCTAATTATTTCTGTCAACCGAAAGTTGTTCCCATTCTCCCATTTTTAATTAATTTATCCTTAAACTGTAGAATATGTGTTTGTTGACGCGACCGACTTCGAGCAAAATCGTTACCGGATATTTAAAACGCAAAGTAAAAGTCAAACCAATACAGTTAAAAAATCTCATCTCGGAAAAAGGAAGCGCGGTTCCGGTTTTACTATTCGTAAATGACGTAGTGCGAGTATAGACCTACTTTAACTTTTAGAATTGAGAAATGTCTTTTTTCAGAGCGGGGGATTGTCCTCGCCTTGTACGCCTTCATTCTTTTTATTTTAAAGAAGCATTTTTGTCAATTGAAGCGGTCAATTTGGCCGGTTGACAGTTCTTAGGGAAAACACCGGTTAATACCGCTGATACTGAAATGAATGTCAGACACCTCGGCCCAACGACACATCGGCCCATTGACATCTCGGCCCAATGACAACTTGGCTCAGACAGGTCGGGTCAAGATTAAAGACAGGTTGGCCCATACATAAGACACCTCGGTCCAAGCAATTTAAATTCATTGCGAAATGTAGTATTTTTCCGATTTCAGAATTTGCATCTTAAAATAAAATTTTTATTGAAACAAGAGGCCCATGGGCCACATCGTTCACCTGAGCACTGTGGCTGGAAGTAGAAATTGATTTATTATTGATTATTATGCTTCCTGTCACTTTGTCTCTATATAATCCATACCCTATTATTCTCGCATAGTGTTCAAAGGATTTATATAGCATCAGCATTCTATGCCGAAATAGTGCATAGCTTCCATTTCTGAAGAAAATCTGACAACGCCCATACTGGTGAGCGAACTCACGACCCCGAGATTGTCAGTCCGATACGCTACCGATTACGCCACAGACGCCGTTATCTATAGTATTGTACTATAATATATATAGACTTAGTTTCAAATATTTTACACTTAAGATTAAAAATAAACAAAGTAATTCTTATAAAATAGTTTCTTGCAACCCCCCTTCCTTCACTCTAATAACATTCTCTAAAACTATTTGTAGATTATATCAAAGCATGGAGCGTTCAAAATTAAAGAAAAAGATTATGACGTACCTGTTGCATAAGGTGACGTCATAATAGAGTAGACGAATGTTACAGGTGATGAAACATCGGGAATGAAGAAAATATTGCCATTTTTAGGTCACCTGAGTAACTCAGGTGACCTATTGCTATCCGTTTTCGTCCGTCGTGCGTCGTGTGTCATATGTTAACATTTGAACATTTTCAGCTTCTTCTCTGAAACCACTGAACCAATTTCAACCAAATTTGGTATACAGCATCTATGGGGAAGGGGAACAAAAATTGTGAATTTCATGGTCCCCGCCCCCCTGGGGCCTGAGGGGTGGGGCCAAAACCACTAAAATTAGTGCAATCTTTAAAAATCTTCTTCTTTACTCCTGGACATCACGCAGGTAAACTGTTGACATGAATGTAATGAGCATTGAGTCCTCTACCAAAATTGTGAAATTCATGGCCCCAGGGTCAGGGGTTCTAGTGCTAGGGCGGGGCTATATAGATTATATAGTGAAAATGCATTATTTCTTTTAAAATCTTCTTCTCTGCTCCCGGGTATTGAATAAACTAACTAAGTACATAGTTATGATGAGCAAGAGTGCCTTTTCCAAAATTGTGAATTTTATGGCCCCAGGGTCAGATGTTCTGGTGTTAGGGCGGGGCTCTATTGATTATATAGTGAAAATGAATTTATTCCTTGAAATTCTTCTTCTCTGCTTCTGAGTATTAGATAAACTAACTAAGCACATAGTTATGATGAGCAAGAGTGCCTCTTCCAGATTTGTGAATTTTATGGCCCCAGGGTTAGGGGTTCTGGTGTTAGGGTGGGGCTCTGTTGATCATATACTGAAAATGCATTTATTCTTTGAAAATCTTCTTCTCTGCTTCTGGGTATTAAATAAACTAACTGAGCACATAGTTATGATGAGCAAGAGTGCCTCCTATAAAATTGTGAATTTTATGCCCCCTTGGTCAGAGGAGGGGGGGGGGCTACATAGTCTGAAAATAAATTAATGCTTTTAAATCTGCTCTTTGGTATTAATCAACCATTTTGTTTTAAAATTTGCAAAATTTTGAAATGTGTGGCCCCTGGGTCAGTGGTTCCTTTGGGGTGAGGTGCACAACTGGGTATAAAGTGGAAGTGCATTTTCTCTTTGTTACTCTGATCTACCTCTTGGTATTAAGTAAATAGAGTAAGCATGCTAAGTTAATAATTATGATAAGGAATGGTGCCTCTTTCAGAATTGTGAATTGTGAATTTCAGGGCCTCTGGTTTAAACCAAATTCAAGTGTTTGAAAGCTTTTACACAATACTCAGGTGACCTATAAGGCCCGTGGGCCTCTTGTTATACAGTAACAACAGTCAGCATAATAATAACAATAGTGTTGTGTTTTGCGTGCACTATGCCTAAATAGTAGTCGGCTTGTGCACCATGTGTCAAACCCTGACTACTATTTAGGCATAGAGCACGCAAAACACAACACTATTATATAAATAGTTTATATCCAAAAGTAGTCCCATGACCAATCATGGCTTTGCTATTCTTGATAAGATGATTTTTAAAGAATTTTCCTATATATATGTCTATGTAAAACTTTGATTGGCCATTGTGGCCCCGTCCTACCCCAGGGGGTCATGATTTGAACAAACTTGAATCTACACTACCTGAGGATGCTTCATTATATATATGATCAATTAGGCCATTCCAAGTTTTTTCTTTGTTAAGCGTCCACCCATCTTTCAAAAACCTAGCTACTATTCGCAAAAAACACACAAGTCAAAAAAAAAAACAAAACATATTTTATAGTAGTAAGAATGATGTAATTCAAAAGATATGATTTCATCTATCTATTTTTCATAAAAAAGTTATTTTCTTCAGCAAAATCAAGGTATTAAATATTGAAACTATTCCAATAATGATATATCATACAAATATTTAGAGATATTGCTGGAAATCATTAATTTTGACCTGAATAATTAATTTTTGGACTCCTTGCAGATTCTGTTTGTTTTTTCTGACATGGGGTGTCAAAAACCAAGGCGGACGCTAAACATAGAAAAAACTTGGAATGGCCTCATGGCTTTGTTATTCTTGAGAAGAAGATTTCTAAAGAATTTTCCTATATATTTCTATGTAAAACTTTGGTTGGCCAGTTTGGTTACAATTGGCTCAGCAGTTCTTTAGAAGAAGTCGAAAATGTGAAAAGTTTACGACGGCGACGACAACAACGACAGACAATGGAGAAATTGTGATCAGAAAATGTCACTTGAGCCTTTGGCTCAGGTGAGCTAAAAAGTAATTAAATATATTATCATTTTTAGTCACCAGAGTAAAATCAGGTGATCTATAGCCGTCTGTTGTCGTGCGGTGTGCATTAACATTTGAACACTCCTCATGCCTCTGTGCTATAACAAATAGCGACATGTAGTACTACAATAAATACTAATAAAACAAATAGGGTGGGACACTTTGAGAGGGGTGAGAGAGGTCCTAGGGAGTTTTGGTATACTGTAAATCACTTTTTTATTCGCGAGAACTTTATTTTCGCGTAATTACGGGAGACAGTGAGCACGCGAAAATTTCATTCTCGCGTATAATAGTATTCCTTAAGATTAAACAGAGAAATATTGACAATTCGTGAAAATTATGTCTCGCTTATCAATAGTCAATGACTATCTCGCGAAAATAAGGTGTTCGCGAAAATTT